CTCCTCATTGGCAATTAAGAGAGAAATCCATTGAGGGAGTGGTGGCAGTGAACCTTCCCCTCTGATACTTTAACCAGGCCTCTTAGTTAATTTGAGAAATTGTTCTGTATCGACCTTGCTTTGAAGCAGGATTTCATCCTATGGCCCCATCAGTAGTACATATACATCTTCCTCTTAGGAAGCAGGCTTTTTCTAACCATAGCACCTTTTGTTTCTTATTTACAATCCAAATCCTATCACTGATTCCAGTAATCTTTGTTGCATCATGACCTGTCATTTCCTTGACAGAAAACCTGGGTGGGTTTTGTAATTTTTATTTTTTTTAACCAAGATAATTCATATTAAAACAAAGAATAACAATCTAGGACCTTTGGGGGACACATTCTTGATGTGTTTTTAACATCCAGATAGTAAAGAGGCCACAGTGTTCCCCAGCTTGAAACTAAGACTGAACCTAAAATAGAACCTGAACATCCATTTTGGTGACTCAACTAAACTATGTGGATTAGCTTTCTACAACCAAAAATATGATTGTGCAGGTTAGGATAGCAATTGTTTATTCCAGAACACAGCATTTGGATGTTTTCTTATACATGTGACTCCTTTTGTGTCTGAGCAATGGAAAAACTGTACTTGGCTAATGAGAAATGAAGCATTTCCTCACCCTTTCCCCAGTAATCACTAATTTAATGCTCTACTCCAAATGAACGCATTGATCCTTTATCTCCATCTTCCCCATCTCTGCTTTTTTGTCTCGTGGAAGGCCAGAACTTTCTTGTCCTTCTCAATGTGAAATGTGATATTTTAGACTTGGAACCATTTAGATAAATAATTGGGATTGTTCATAGTTTATGTCACCATGACTTCACTGCAGCTCTGTGATGAAGGGCAAAAGAACTTGGCTGGGGCAGAGGGGATGCCCTGGCCCTGGGGCACCAGAACAGGCTGGACCTGGGGCTGAGCACCCTCCAGATCTGACAACTCTTCCCCCTCTTATGCACATGCATTCAGTTTTGTGTGTGGATGATTCACCTTCCTGCTGTGTATGAGTTAAAAGCAAAAATTTTGTCTTTAAAATGATCCTTGAGGTTTGGTAAATGGAGGTGCCAGGGAAGCTCTGTGTGAGCAGAAGTATGATTTAGCATCTGTTCTCCTTGTTAGAAAGTGCCCCGTTGTACTCGGGGTGCCAAGGAGGATTTGGCAGGGGAGAAAGGTTTGACTCACCCAGGTGCCATCCCCATCAGCACGGAGCATTTACAAACCTGGCATCCACTCTCTCCATCTCCAAATCACAGCACAGACTGAAACGCAGTGATACGAAAGATTAGTCTTCATTCGGCAAAGTAATTGCCAAATTAAATGATGCCAGATGGAAAAACTAAAGGCCACGGTGTCAGGGGTCTGTCCATAGCCCTGGGCTTTAGGAAGAGGTAAATACACAGGTCTCAGCTGGTGCTGCAGGAGGTACGTGTCCGGCGGGAAGCCGGCGCTCGGACTGTGCCGAATCGATACCTGCTATCGAAGGGAGCAGCGCGCAGCGTTAGGGCCAACCCAGCGTTATCAGAAAATGATATATTGCACATTAGGATGGATAATTCATGTCGCCTTCATCGGCTCAGACCGTCGCGAAAATTCATAAATCATTTTCTCGTTCATGTATCGCCTAAGTGCGATTTGTCACTCGGCATCAGCGGGAGGGCGGCCGCGGATCCCCGCCGGATTCCCAAAATGGAGACCCGGCTGCGCTTGGAATCGCGGGGGCAGCTCGGATCCCCGGGCTGCGGGCCCCCCGGGAGGGCGGGAGGCGGCTCCCCCCGCGCCTATACACGTGTGTGGATATAAATATGTGTATGCTCCCCGCTGGCTGCTGCTGCTGCCCCCCGCATCACGCCGTCTCCGCAGGAGCCTCGCGTGGGTGTCGCGCCTCGGGAGCACCCCGAGCCCCCGGGGATGTGTGCCCCCCTCCCAGCCCTACCTCCGGGGCTTCCTCCGGCCCGCACAGGCGGACACGGACACGGACACGGGCGGGCTCGGTCTCCCGGGTTTCGCCCGCGTTCCTCGAAGGCAGGAGACGTGGCCGCTCCGGGGGGCCACGGCGGCGGGGAAAGAAGGGCTAGAACTGCCCCGGGTGGCGTTCAGTGCCGGGCAGCGGCCACTCCCCTATGGGCATCCACGGGTCGTTCCCGCAGGAAGGCGGGAGAGGCAGGATCTCCGCTGGCCGCGCCCGGAGCTGGCGGCAGCGGGCGGGCAGGTGAGCGGCGGCGCTTCTGCACGGGAAGGCAAGGCAGCGAGCTCCCCGTCCGCATCCCACGGGCAGCGCCAGCAGCCGGGCCATTCTGAAAAAAAATTTTCAATTTGTCTGCAAAGCACCCACTGGAATCACCCCGCCACAGAGCCCGGGGGTGGGTAGGGAGCCAGGCAGAAGGGGAGAACAGGATGCAGTTTGGGGGAGAGTGGGCATCTCCCTGCCTGCCGCGCCGGCTGCCGCGGCCTCACAGCCGGCCAGGGGAGCGCGGGTCTGGGCGGAGAGCGGCGGCAGGGCCGGGGCCGGGTCCCGGAGCGGGTCCCGGAGCGGAGCGGAGCGCGCTGAGTGCCCCGCGGGGCGGCGGCGGCGGCGGCGCTGGCGGGCGCAGTGCGGCGCTGGAGGCGCTGGGGGGCGCCCGCCGCCCGCCACAGCGGCCGCGCCGCCGGGGGAGGGGCGGGGCGGGGGCGCGCCCGCGGCTCCGGGCGCTGGAGCCCGGCTCTGGACATCGCAGAACGGCTGGGATCGCTGGGAATTGCTGGGGAGCTTCAAGGCCGGCTGGCTCCAGCCCCTCCTGCCACGGGCAGGGGCGTCCTGCACCAAACCGGGTTACTGCCAGCCCCGTCCAGCCTGGCCTTGAATACTTCCTAGGATGGGGCATCCTCAGCTTCTCGGGGAGAGCTGTGCCGGGCCTCTCCATCCTAATGGGGATTCCTCTGTTTCCGCAGGAAAAACGCGCCTGTAGTTCATTGAGATACGCGGACGGAGCCGCTGCTGTGTGATGGATTAGCGATGGGGTTAGAGCAGGAGGTGCACGTCCCTGCTTTGTGCTGCTCTTCAAATAAAATAACATTTGGGGGGGAAAGCCTCCGCAAGAATTATAACTATTGTATTCTTTTACTCTTAATTTATTCATTCGGTAGCCTTAGGGACGTGGATCTCTCAGCCAGCACCGACAGCCGGTACCGGAGCGTTTCCCTTGGATTCCTCCGGTTATCCCTGAGAGAATATCGCACTCCAGGGATATCCGCCCCACCACCCTGAGCACCCAATGACAGGCAGTATTCCTCCTTCTCCCTCTGCCACCGCGCCTCACGGTCTCCTGTTGCACCAGCGGAAATTCCAAAATGGAAATAGGAAAATACCGGCGCAGGCTCGCGGTGCTTTAAATTGACTGGAGCTGCAAACACCGCACGGGTAAATGACGGAAAGTTGCGCTCTCCTCACTGTGGAACACACCAAGGGGCGGGGAAGGGGAATGGAACAACAACAACAACCGCAAGTTTCCCTCTGTTTACGCTTTTTTTTTTCCAAAAAAAGCTCCACTGGAAAGGAAAGTTGGTGGCGGCTGGGTGGAAAATCCCTCTCCAAGGAGCGGGGCTTGTTGACGTTTACCCGGGTTGCGTGTGTGTGTGCCAGGGACGAGCGGCGATCCAGCGGCCGCGGCGGGGGAACCATCACCCAGGAAGGGGAGAGAGGCAGGGAAGGAGGCAGGGATTGAGGGAAGGAGGCAGGGATTGAGGGAAGGCGGCAGGGAAGGAAAGAGGAAAACGGGCAGAGAGCGCTGAGGGGCTGAGGCGGCTGGCGCGCGCTCTGCCCGCTCTGCCCGCCCAGCCCGCGCGCGGCCCCGCCCAGCCGTGACGCAGCGCCCCCGGCGCGCGACGCGGCCAATGAGACACCGCCCCCGGGGGCGGTGCTGGGCGCCGATTGGTTGGCAGGAGCCGGGCGCTGCGCAAAAACAGCGGAGCGGAGCGCTGCCCGCTCAGAAACTGCTGGCAGAGATCGGCGGAGCCGGGCCGGGAGCGGAGCCGGGACGGGAGCGCAGCGGCGGCGGCACACATAGATACAGGGGCTAGGCGAGAAAGCAGCAAGAGAGGAAAAAAAAATAATCCCCACCGCGATCGGCACCGCCGTAAAAGCAGAGTGATGATGATGAACGTACTCGTAGCAATAACAGAAGAAAAGGAAAGACCTTTGACAGAGGAGAGAGAAATCTAAAATCTTTAAATTAAAAAAAAAAAAAAAAGGAAATACCAGGGACATCGGGGAATGAAAGTTTTGGGTAGCTAAGCTGCTCTCTGCCTTTTTTTTTTTTTTATATGAAATCTTTGTGCGGGTAATTTTTTTTTTTTTTTTTTAATTTCGCGGTTTTCTGCCTTTTCCTTGCATCCAAAGAGGGCATGCCCACCGGCTGTTCCAGCAGCATCTAGCCTCCAACTCCCACCAGGAAGACAAACCGAGGACAATCTTGAAATACAAAAATTTCCTCCTTGGAATTTGCTGCTGCTGCTGCTGTCTCTGCCGCCACTGCTGCTGCCGCGGTGCAGTGCCAAGACTCTCGGAATAAATAAAAGAGGGCTACAGTGTGTCTCTAGCTACAGCCGGCTAATAGCTATTTTAGTTGGCCGTACATCTCGAAGATCACAGATGAAGCGGGGACGCCTGTCTTCTTCGTTTGCTCAGCGTGTGAAACAATAATCCCCGTAACAGAAAGGAGGGAGATGGGGGAGAAAAAAAATCCTAACATGAATCAGAAGAAATAGTATCTAGCAACCCTCCCCCCCAGCCCCCCCAAACCAACCTCTCCCCCTCCCCTTCCCCCGATCCCCCTCTCTCTCCACACGCTTGCAGGCGCGGGCACGCGCGCGCGCGCACACACACAGACACACAGACGCGCGCACACAGACACACAGACACGCACACACACTGTACTGTGTATTTTCGAAGGAGGAGGTGGCTTTTGGAAGAGGAGGCAGCGGTGGTGTCGGGGAGGGGGGAATCTCTTTCCCCGTCTGGAGATGGTTGTGCTATTCCTCTTTGCCTTGCTCTGGATGGTGGAGGGGGCTTTTTGCCAGCTCCATTACACGGTGCAGGAAGAGCAGGAGCATGGCACGTTCGTGGGGAATATCGCCGAGGACCTGGGCTTGGACATTACAAAACTTTCGGCTCGGCGCTTCCAGACGGCGCCCAACTCCCGCAGCCCTTACCTGGAGCTTAACCTCGAGACCGGGGTGCTCTACGTGAACGAGAAGATCGACCGGGAGCAGATCTGCAAGCAGAGCCCCTCCTGCCTGCTGCACCTGGAGGTCTTCCTGGAGAACCCCCTGGAGCTGTTCCGGGTGGAGATCGAGGTGCTGGACATCAACGACAACCCGCCCTCCTTCCCGGAGCCCGACCTGACCGTGGAGATCTCGGAGAGCGCCACGCCGGGCACCCGCTTCCCGCTGGAGAGCGCCTTCGACCCCGACGTGGGCACCAACTCCCTGCGCACCTACGAGATCACCCCCAACAGCTACTTCTCCCTCGACGTGCAGACTCAGGGCGACGGGAACCGCTTCGCCGAGCTGGTGCTGGACCAGCCGCTGGACCGGGAGCAGCAGGCGGTGCACCGCTACGTGCTGACGGCGGTGGACGGCGGGCAGCCCCAGCAGCGCACCGGCACCGCCCTGCTCACCGTCAGGGTGCTGGACTCCAACGACAACGTGCCCGCCTTCGAGCAGCCCGTGTACACCGTGTCGCTGCCGGAGAACTCGCCGCCGGGCACCCTGGTGCTGCAGCTGAACGCCACGGACCCCGACGAGGGGCAGAACGGCGAGATCATCTACTCCTTCAGCAGCCACATCTCGGCCCGCGCCCGGGAGCTCTTCGGCATCGCGCCGCGCACCGGGCGCCTGGAGGTGAGCGGCGAGCTGGACTACGAGGAGAGCAGCGTGTACCAGGTGTACGTGCAAGCCAAGGACCTGGGGCCCAACGCCGTGCCCGCGCACTGCAAGGTGCTGGTGCGGGTGCTGGACGCCAACGACAACGCGCCCGAGATCAGCTTCTCCACCGTCAAGGAGGCGGTGAGCGAGGCGGCGGCGCCGGGCACCGTGGTGGCCCTGTTCAGCGTCTCGGACCGCGACTCGGAGGAGAACGGGCAGGTGCAGTGCGAGCTGCTGCAGGGCGACGCGCCCTTCCGCCTCAAGAGCTCCTTCAAGAACTACTACACCATCGTCACCGAGGGGCCGCTGGACCGCGAGCAGCCGGGCGGCGACGCCTACACGCTGACCGTGGTGGCCCGGGACCGCGGCGAGCCGCCGCTCAGCACCAGCAAGTCCATCCAGGTGCGGGTGAGCGACGTGAACGACAACGCGCCGCGCTTCAGCCAGCCCGTGTACCAGGTGTACGTGAGCGAGAACAACGTGCCCGGCGCCTACATCTACGCCGTCAGCGCCACCGACCGCGACCAGGGCGCCAACGCCCGCCTCGCCTACTCCATCCTGGAGAGCCAGATCCAGGGCATGTCCGTCTTCACCTACGTCTCCATCAACTCCGAGAACGGCTTTCTCTACGCCCTCCGCTCCTTCGACTACGAGCAGCTCAAAGAGTTCAGCTTCCAGGTGGAGGCCCGCGACGCGGGCGAGGAGCCGCAGCCGCTGGCCGGCAACGCCACCGTGCACATCATCGTGGTGGACCAGAACGACAACGCCCCCGCCATCGTCAGCCCCGTGCCCGGCCGCAACGGGACCCCGGCGCGGGAGGCGCTGCCCCGCGGCGCCGAGCCGGGCTACCTGGTCAGCCGGGTGGCGGCCGTGGACGCCGACGACGGCGAGAACGCCCGCCTCACCTACAGCATCGCGCGGGGCAACGAGGCCGGGCTCTTCCGCATGGACTGGCGCTCCGGGGAGCTGCGGACGGCCCGCAGGGTGCCGGCCAAGCGCGACCCGCAGCGCCCCTACGAGCTGGTCATCGAGGTGCGCGACCACGGGCAGCCGCCGCTCTCCTCCACCGCCGCCGTGCAGGTGGTGCTGGTGGACGGCGCGGGAGAGCGCTCCGGGGGCGGCGGCGGCCCGGCCGCGGGCACCGGGGCGGGGGGAGGCGGCGGAGGCTCCGGCGAGCATCGCCCCAGCCGCTCCGGCGGGGATAACTCGCTGGACCTCACGCTCATCCTCATCATCGCCCTGGGCTCCGTCTCCTTCATCTTCCTGCTGGCCATGATCGTCCTGGCGGTGCGCTGTCAGAAGGAGAAGAAGCTCAATATCTACACCTGCCTGGCCAGCGACTGCTGCCTGGGCTGCTGCTGCTGCTGCCCCTGCTGCAGCCGGCAGGCGCGGGCCCGCAAGAAGAAGCTCAGCAAGTCGGACATCATGCTGGTGCAGAGCTCCAACGTGCCCAGCAACCCCGCGCAGGTGCCGGTGGAGGAGTCGGGCAGCTTCGGCTCCCACCACCACAACCAGAACTACTGCTACCAAGTCTGCCTCACCCCCGAGTCCGCCAAGACCGACCTGATGTTCCTCAAGCCCTGTAGCCCCTCTCGCAGCACCGACGCCGAGCACAACCCCTGCGGGGCCATCGTCACCGGCTACGCCGACCAGCAGCCCGACATCATCTCCAACGGCAGCATTTTGTCCAGCGAGGTAAGGACCGGCACCCCCCGGCATCCCGCACCCCCCCAGCCCGCGCAGACTTCATCCCCGAGCATCCTTCCCCAAGCTCCCGCTCCTCCTTCTCCTCCTCTCCCGTCGCGAAAGGCGTTTTGCATTCCCAATCCTGCTCGTTTCTCCTTTAATCCGTCCGCTGCCTCTCCCCGCTTTGCCCTCTCATCTTTGGGGGGTTTTAGCGACAGGCGGGGGTCTCAGAGGCGATTGTGGGGTAGACACACACGCACACCGCTGGCTCCCTCCCGCTCGGGCTGAGCAGCTGTTGCAGCCGAGCGTGTTCCCCCCGAGTCCCCCTCCCACCCCCCTCCGGTGCCTCTGAAGGAATCTGGGCAGCATCGTGGCGCAGAGATGCCCCCGAGCCTGCGGTAGCTGTGAGTGGATTGCCTGTGGGTTGGGAGATGGGCGGGGGGGGGTTACAGCTCTTTGCAGCATCTCTCCGCTTGACAAGGCTGAAGTGGTGTGGGGTGTAAGCACAGGATGCTCTGAAGGAAGGCTTTAAACGCGTGTGTTTTTCGGTCCTGAAATCTTTTCATGTGTGACTAAAGCTTTGGGGGAAACCCCCTTTGGGACGGTGACAGTCACTGTAGTTAGCAGGAGCTTTAATTAATTTGTGAATTAGGGTTTTTGACTTTTCTTGACTCTGTCTGCGCAGCTCTTTATAACCCCAAAGTTTGCAAAGAGCAGCAAGAAAGAGTTTCTGTAAAATTGTGTGCTGGGACTTAATGTCCCCTGCAGTCTTGCCTATGTTGTGTTGCCTGGTGTGTAGAGAATTTTTACTAAAGCATTTACCATGCCATATCACTCCCCCATTAATCTTTTGTGCTGGCTTAGCTCATGTATATTGTCAGCACCTCTCTGCCTGTGCACTAGTGAAAACCTCACCTTCTCTCCTACCCTGAAACCTGAGTGCTGTCCAGTCTCACAAAGGTGGTTTGGATGGTGTTTTCTAAGGCATTAAGTTCTGCAGTGAAATTTCTAATATAGATTTGTAGTACTGCCCTTGCCTCAAAATGTCTACAAAACTCTTGACTTCTGCTGCTTTTTTGATGACTTGAGGGTATCTCAATGTATGTTTTTTTTTCCTTATGGTGCAATACCAGTACCATCTAAGCAGTCCACAACTCTAGAAATAGTTATGCTAATTTTTGGTGGGAGTCCTTGTGATGCTCAACAGTGTGCACTGTGAGAAAACGTCAGAGTCTTGTCTCAAAAAACTCCAGAAAAAAATCCCTTGTGCCTTCCCATCTGTGTGACTAAGAGCTGATTCTTTCCCCCCTTACATTCTAGAAACAGATTTTGGAGGCCTACTTGCAGCTAAGCATTGCCATTTATAGTGACTATGGTGAGCTGCTCCCTTGTATATTCTCTGCTGCTGGTTACAGAAATATCAAGAGTTAAAATATCTCCCAATAATTTGTTTTCTCCTAGACAAAGCATCAGCGTGCTGAGCTCAGTTATCTAGTTGACAGACCCCGACGAGTAAACAGGTAGGAGCTCTGCAGCCTTGGTTTCCTCATGCATGCTTTAGCAAGTCTGAGTGCTGTGCAGAAATGTATTTACTACAGATGTGACTGGGTAGTAAAGCAGTGGGAAGTCGAATGGATGTAGATGCACCAAATAAAGTTCGATTTAAGGCTTTTCTACACTGGTTTTCAAACTGACTGAAAAGAGAACAAAATCCCGGTTTGTACGAGTCTAAAACGTGCTTCAAATACTTAATAACACGCTTCTGTAGGGTCTCCCAGAAAACATTGTCTCACTGAGCTAAAGTTCAGCTAACCAGCTTAAGGAAATGCTACCAAATCACTTTTGCAGACCGCATGAAAACCAGGAGGGGCAATAACCCTTGCTGGCCTGAAAACTGCTCGTTTTGTTCAGGGCGGGCAGGGCACCTCGGTGCGAGCCGTGCAGGAGTGAGGGGGGGTAATGCAGCGCCGTGTTTGGCCATGTGATGGCGGAAGAATGTTTTACGAGCTCCTCTTTCATGTTTATTCTAATGTAAAGATGTTTCTGTGTCTAGTTCTGCATTCCAGGAAGCAGACATAGTAAGCTCTAAGGACAGTGGTCATGGAGACAGTGAGCAAGGAGACAGTGATCATGATGCCACTAATCGAGGTCAATCCTCTGGTAAGTCTGATAAGAGAATGGAAATATTGGATCTTTAAGTAGGGAGACTAGAAGGAACAGTTACTTATAGGAATATAATACAAGAGAGGCATAAATAAGGTGAGCGTATTTATTTTTTGGGAGGCTGGGTTTACATCAGCTTGCTGCTACAGGAGGCAGTTTTGAACCTCTTTTGGTCACGGGGCAGAATTTATTTTATTAATGTGGTTGGGGATGGGAATTGGTGTGTTATACTCCATCATTCACTGTAGCAAAACTTCCTGCACATTAAAACAAAGTTATTGGTACATTTGATAGTACATTTTCTCCTATGGCAGATTTAGAGGATCTCAAAGCATTAAGCAATTCTGTTTAGTAGGCACTTCAGCTGGCACAGCAGTGAGAAGTGAAGGAGGAGTTCCCAAGGGAAAGAATGAACCCAGTGATTGAATGACAGCCAGACTGTGAGGGGTTTTTTTTCCAGGGGATCAGTGGAGACACGTTGGGTGCTCTGAATGTGTAATACCTTCAAATTTTGGAGGATTGTCTGTTAATTCGAATTGAGGCACCATATAGAGCAAGTGGTCTCCATGTTAATAAGATATTACTAAATACATTTTCTTGACAGAGGAAAGAAAGGCTTTCAAAGGCTATGAATCACTTAGGAAATCCACACATTGCAGTGTTATGCCCATATGTAGGGCTTGCTGTCTCAGTTCGCATACTGTCAGTTTGCTTCTGAAAGGAACATTTGTTCAGAGCCTGTGCATTAGAATTCACGCTCACCCTCTCACTGCATTTTAGCTACAAATGCTGGGCTTTCTTTCCTACCAGCCTCCCCAGGTCTGGTACATCTTTGTGCAACACAGTGCTGCCTTTCCCCTTGTTTCCTTTGTGCTCTGTCACGTATAAAGATTTGCTACAACCGTGTCATACAAACCACTGTCAGTCCTCCTTTTCTGAATTCCCCCCGACCCCCACCTTAGGAGGCACAGGGCAGGGGACCCAGTGCTGCCACAGCAGTGCTGCCTCACCCTCCTGCTCTGTTAATGTCCCCTATTTTCCTGCTGCTGTAGTCACTGTGCCCTTAACGATGGGAAACCCAGGCACCAGGGGAAGGGGAGGCTGCCACAGGGCCTCTTTCTATTGCTGCAAGTCATTAATATGCAGACCTAATGAGACTTGAGAAGAGCCAAGAGTCTCTGGAGCTCCCTGCTTCTTGCAGGGCTTCATGCTAAGTGAACAGAGTGTCTATTTTGTGTCTGGGAACCTGACAACAAACCAGGTCTTGCCAGAAGTTTACATCTGAACACAGAGCCTCTTTCATTTTTGGCCTATATATGGCGTATGATTTATTATTGTTTGAAAAAGCCATGTATTTAGCCTCCCCCCACCCTTTCTTTTGCACTGTTTCTGATGCAGCAATCAGGGCTACTGAGTTATAAAAAGCTCTCTCTCCTCCTGCCCTCCCTGCATTCCTGTTTTTTTTTTTTTTTTCCCTCCTCTTTTACGCATTTTACTGCAGCAGTCATCTCCATGAACATTTCAATCAGCTTAGTCCCTCAACATAATGAACCATAATAACCAAACAGGAGAGAAAAGAATAAACATCTGCAGAAGGGGCTGGATTTGACTGATGGTGGGAATATAATCACATAGTTGCACATCAACTGAAAGCTATTTTCTTTTAGATGCATTCTGTGCTGTTATTGTTGTGCCTCTGTTCTTTATGCTTTCCCTCCATTTTAAAAGTAGACTATGAATACTTTTTATATTTGGCATTGATCCTTAGTGGGGTAAATTCTTCTACATTTCTATTTTATAAATAGTGGAGAAAAACTATTCTGTACTTTTAAATCATTTCAAATCGTTTAAGAATCTGATGTGATCTGTGAACTTCTGTATCTTCAGTGGTGATCACATAGTCAGTAATGAAAGCTGACAATTAGGCTTGGTCTACTCACAATTAGCAGGTTGAACCAAAAACTCAGACTACACCAATTTCATATATTGCTACTGAGATTTGAGAATAATTTGCATGCACCACTTTTTTAATGCTAGTCCCAGATGAACATTTCAATACAGATCTCTGTAGAAACTGCTTTAATCTTCTTCACACATATTATCTACTTTTCGTGTAAGTTTTGGGCTGAATCATGCTGCCTAAATGCAAAGAATGTGCCCTTTTACCTCAGTGATGACAAGATATTTTGACATAAATCTTCACTCTTGCTATGAGCTTTGGGGATGAATTTTAAGGGGAAAAAAGGAGCATAAATCTTGTTTGATCTCAAATGGCTACAGGAAATATAGAAGGAATGCCTTCTCAATTGCGTTGGTCATTCTGATGCTCTATAATCAATTCTTTCTAAATTACTGAAGGAAAGCACATTGATTGATAGCGTGGCAGCAGTTTGGGCTGTTTTATTTTCCCAAGATGTTACCTGATACTATGCAGCATCATATTTGTTTTCAAAAGCATCTGAAAATATTTAGTAGGTAATTCACAGTGGCAGACAAAACTCATTCCCCACCAGTTTAGTCAGCAGCATGTTCTGATGGCAGAATATCTATTTACTGCTCAGCACAGGACCTCTGCCACTGGTGAGCACTCCTGTGGCACAAAAGTAGCTATTCTGTAGCAGTCCATTGCAATCCAAACTGTGGTGTCATGGTCAGTTATTAAGTGGGAAGGAAAACATGTAGGATGAAAATCCATCACGCTGCCACAGGTTTATCTTGTAGAATTTAGAGAAAAATCTGAACTGTGCCGCTCTGCGTATCATAAAATGTTTTCTTGGGTTTTGAAATTAGATCATAGCTCACCTTTTCACAAAATATGTTTGCTTAAAAGTGATTTAATCATGGTTTAAATGTGCTGAAATGCATGTAAGGGATTCATATTTTTCCCATTAAAGTAACATATAAATGCCTCACAAATATCCACATTCTTACCTACCTTAACACTGTTGAAGTACTAAAGTGCTGTCATCTGCTTTTTGCAGGGAATGGTAAGGAGTGAGATGCTCAAGATCCTAATTTTTTGTGGATTTAATAGTTATTTCATTAACTGGGTTAGTAATCCGAGCTTTTTGAAAAAAAAAATGACTTTACAAAAGTGAAGAAGTGCAGGAGTGTTTTGGCAAGCAGAGGAGGGGTTTCTCAAATGTTTGAGAGAAAAGCTGCTACTTGTTTTAGAGCAAACACAACTCACACAACACTTCTACCTCTTAGGAGCACGCTGCATTTCAGCTGTGTTCTGTAGGAGTAATTCTCAAGCATGAGGTTAGTTTATTTCCCATGGTTGATTAATTTCTTGGCCTCCCTTGTGAAACTGCCAGCTTGGGTGCCAATTAATGCTCTGCATGTGTGTACATTTAAATTGTATGATTAGACACCTGTCCTGCAAGATTTGGACTGGTGCCATCAATTTATTTCGTATGGTTGCTCACTAGCTACTTGGCTTTCCCAAGCAGAGTCCTTCACAGTATTACCCTTTTTTTTTTTTTCATGGAATTGGCACAGAATCTCAGAGGCACTTCAGGGAGGAATGCCCAAGATGAGGAGCCAAGTAGATTCACTGCTTTGTATATCCTGTAAAATGCATTAAAATATCCTGCCTTGTATATCCTATAAAATGCATTTTTTGATCTGCTTTTGGACAGTTTACATTGGTGACTGGCTGAAACCTGAAACTAGGCTTTTCCTGTTGGATTTTATGAAGGGAACTGGTAAGGGTTTAATGCAAAGGCACAGGGTGAAACACTGGCTCACACCTTTTCAGTACAGATTAGCTGAATGCCAAGAGGGTTCATTATGGCAGAGGAGCTGCAATATTTCAGTGTCCATAAGGAGAAGAGTAAGAGAGGTCAGAAGAAGAATTTCAGTGATAAAGGGACAGAGAAAACCAGTAGTTCCTCTGAGCCTATGCAGACTGACAGCTAAATCCTGTTTTGAAGATCACTTGGGCAAAAAGTCTATCTCAGATAAAGTGAGAGTGTACATGAAAATGGCTTAGAAAAGTGCTTTGACTGAAGCTAAGTGCTACTTCTGCTTTTTGGTTTTTTGGGTTTTTTTTTTCCCCTCTTCTTCCTTGGCTTGCATGCTTAATAATGTTCACATCTCAGTGGTCCAGATAGACCTTTGAAGCTGAGATTTGGAAGAGCTGAATATTCAAGATATTTGAGTCTTTATTCATGTTCTGATGCAGATGAAGTCAGTTTTATCCAAGGCAGCACACCAATTACTTAGTGAGAAAGAGTGATAATAACTTTGTTTCTTAAGTCCAATTCAAAGTAGATGACTACTTTAACATCATTATCCTCATTTACCAATAGAAAACATGAATCCTGGGAAATGAGATACTTACTCATTGATAATCTAACCAAATGGATAGTTGTTCTGGGAATGGGAGCTCTGAGAAGATCTGGTTCCCTACATCACACCTATCTCACATCTAACTAGCACAGGAGAAACAGAAATGTCATTTCTTTCCAAGTAAAAGGCAAGGTTCTCAAAAAATAAAAAAAATAATCCACACATTGGAGAAAAACCCCTCTCAATAATGGTATTGCAAAAAATACTTTGTCAGCATTTAATTTGTGGTTTTTATTTTTTGTTACATCTTTTACTGAGTAATGCACGTGAAAGTGTTCACTTGTTGCTCTTGGTGTATGGTTCTTCTCTCTTAGTTAATTTGAGAAAGGACACATTGTTTAAAAATGAATTTTGGCCTAATTTTTTGCCTTGACAAAACAGTCTTTCAAACCAATTAAAACTCACAGAGAAATTTTGATTTTCTTCTTTTGAAATATGAAAAGGAAGCAAAATGGGAACATGCTTCCAAAATGCAGTGCTGCCAAGTATGTGATTCAAAGCACCTGAGTTCAGGTACTTCAGACATCAAACTTAATTAACACGTTTCCTAGTTTTTGGCAGCTTTTGAGGGAGGGACAGGGGTTTGTTTTCCTTTAAAATCTGCAAAGTCAGAGTTGTGGGAGAGTTCATATTGTCCACTGGCCCCTCTGGTAATGAAATAGGAGTGAGCTGGTGGCCTTTGTCATGAGTTGTTCTGTGTATGCTGCATTTGGAATAGTGCAGTGCTGATCCCTGTCAGAATTTCAGTGCACTGTCCTGTCTGTTTGTATCCACAAAGGACATTTGAAATTCCTAATTCAGAGTCACCTTTAAAATCTCAGTTTGTCTGTATGTGCAAGGTCAAACAGCATAGCTAAAAGAAAAATAAAAATACAAAGCGTTTTTCTTTGATGTGGATGTGTAATTGTGATGGATAGTTTAGTTTAGAAGGATCTTATATATATATATATATATATATACACATATAAAACCAAATTTATGAGAGAGATGAGATGGAAGTGTTAAACTACTGCACATTTTGTTATAAATCAAGAACATGATTCCTGGGGTATGAAGGAGTTCTGTGCTGAGTATCTCACTTCTTTACCATGGTATGTCCTTCCTTCTTGGAAAGCCACAAATAGCCCTTGCTTTTCCCCAACCGTGTGTTAAATGTTTTTCAATTAGAGCCAGAAAATTCTATACTATGACCCACAGGAAAAAGGTGGGGAAGAATAGCCAGCATTCATACCACAGGCAGTGTAAATTGCATGGCTGCCCAGGGATTTTGAAAATAAGCTGCTAATTTGAATTTCTTTTCTGTCAAAATACTAAACCCGAGGGCTTGGTTCTGCACCTGTTAAACTCTTAGGGGCTGTTGTGACTGCTTCAAGCTGGAACAATTCCTAACCCTTGCCTCTCTGAACATTTTGTTCCCATTCTAAACAAGCATTTATATTTAGCTATGTGCTCCAGCAGGGTATATTTAAATTCCAATGTATATAATTTGGTTTTTTTTTTTTTTACAAGTTCTCCTCTCAAAGAGAGAAAAAGTTTGCAGTACAAGCTCACATTATATATCCCCTACATTCATTACTTTGTTTATTAAGAATCCTGACTTATAGTGGCTATAACATCTCTTTTATAATAAGCTGTTATATAATACTATTCAGTGCGCTGCAGTAGACAAGCAGTATTCAAAAGGGAACAAAAAAAATATTTGTATAGAGACATTTTGCAGTTTAGCAGCTGATGTGAGAACAAAATAGTAAAATGGAGGGTAATATTCCAGGTGAAATAAAGATCCATGAAGGGAAGAAAAGGGTATATACTTGAATGTGTATACTTAAAACAATATTTTTCTAATCTTTCCTTCCCCGTAGACTAAAGAATATAATTCAATATTTACCCCTAAGTTTTTATTTCTCCTCCTGTCTTTCAGGAAATATTCAATTAATATGGTCACTGATACATTATCAGCAAAATGGAACTGTAATTATTTTCTTATTAAACATAGGGCAATTTGTTCTTTACATGTATCTTTGACAAGAAGTCTGCAAATTGTAACTCTTTCATGTTCATTGTCCCTTATATCTTTGGAAAGGAAAAAAAAAATTTTTCTTCAGATATTTCAATACATAAGATACACACACACGTGCAGTTTTATAAACATTTTTAGATAGCAATTTTTTTCTGGGTAGCCTGCATCTAAATATTTCTTTTCAGTCTTTGATAGCTACTACCAGTACAGAATTTATATTTGCACTATTTTTCTCTTTGCCTGATGATCTTCATCTGAGTCTTTAAGCAGTTCTGCAGTTCACATTTGCATTCTTCAACAGTTCACTGATCAGAAATTTATTTTCAGGCTTCTGCATGCCAATTATCAAGGCAAGCTTCTAATCGAAACTGGACCTGGCATTGTATATTGCTTAATTTAAAATTAAAAAGTCATTATAAAGTGAGATTAATCTGAGACAAAAACCTTTTATTTCTCATTTCCTCATGATTTTTTTTTTCCCATCTAAATGATTGCCTTTCTTACTCAAGCACTTGTTGATAGCTCATAATCATTGTTCCTTTCTGAAGAGATTGTTTTTTTTCTGTAGTATGAGATATTACATAAATATTATTAATATAATTCAAATTAGAGTTCAAAACTGTGGTAGAATTCTTAATACTAATCCTCACACTGGAGATCAAGCTAATCCAGTTCTTTACAGTGTTCCCTGGTAAATGAGCTACATTGCATGAATCTTATTACAAGAATCATCTAGGTTGGAAAAGATCTTTGAAGTCATTGAGTCCAACCTGTGCCCTAACACCACCTTGTCAACCAGACCATGGCACTGAGTGCCACATCCTTAAAGTTCAAGGCACATCCTTGAGTTTTTCCTTAAACACCTCCCTGTTCCATTTCTGAGTGGAAATTCTTCCTAATGTTCAACCCAAACCTCCCCTGGCACAGCTTAAGGCTGTGTTCTTTTCTATATTACAGCTGTTCAAATTTTTTTCCTGTTTCTGTTACAAGTAGTGTTATTTTTTTTTGTAATTCTAATGAAGTGCTTGTAAATGCAATGTTTATAACAGATTTAGTTCAGTTTTGATACACAGCTAAGATGCTCAGTTCTCCTTATAAATACAAGAAAAGGAGCTTTTTTTTAGTGTGATGTTGAAGATTGTATTGGTTTAACCCAAACAGCAGCTAAGCACCACACACTTGCTTGCTCATTCTCCTAGGATGGAAAGGGGAATCAGAAAAAAGTGAAGTGGTGGGCTGAGATAAGAATAGCTTAATAATTGAAATAAAGGTAATAATAACAAAATGGAGAAAGAGAGAGGAATTAAATTGAAGACAGAGCAATGATGCACACTACACTTGCTCACCAGGCACTGAGCAGTGACTGGCCCCTCCCTGCCTTCTCCCAGGTTATATAGTGGGCATGATGCTCTCTGGTGTGGAATGGCCCTTTGGCCAGCTCACATCAGCTGTCCTGGCCATGCTCCCCCTCAGCTTCTTGTGCATTTCCTCACTGGCAGAGCATGGGACACTGAAATGTCCCTGATCTACTGAGTAACTACCAAAGAATTAATGTGTTACCAACATTATTCTCATATTAAATCCAAAACACAGCACTAGTACCAACTACTAGGAAGAAAATTAACTCTGTCCTACCCAAAAGCAGGACAAACCAACTTGCAGATGCTGTGTTTATTTTAACTCTGTTCCTGTGATTTCATACACCATTCCTCTCAAGTATAATCCAATGACTTCGTGACTCTTAGCCAGGAAATATTCCTTTGGAAGGCTGATCTGAAAGTGGTCAAAAGCAGCATAGCTTGTCATTTGAGATCTTAATAGCATTAAAGGATTTCTAAGCAAACAGTTTGGTGTTGGCATGGATAATTGTTTGCTTATATAGGGGAAGCATTAACAATTTTTTCAATAGTATCCACAGCCACATCACACTGGACTGCAGTTGCCTTTGTACTGCTAATTGCAGTATTTTATTACAGGGTTCTGTCCCGTTTCTTGGATGACTTGATAATAGCAAGGTCTACTGCAGCAGCAATGAAAACTGTCTCTGAAAAAGTGATGTAATGATTGAATAAGCTCTCCTGATCGCTTGAAAGCTCCATTCCTACTTTGTAACATCTGCTTTTAATATCAATAGGCTCCATCTGTATACTGATGTATGCACAGATAGTTCTTTTATAGGACTCATTAAGGTTTCATTTCATAACTGAAATCTGTGATTTCTAAATCCAGACTTTCAATTTCTTTGGTCAGAGACGCATTTATGTAGAAACAATTCCTGCATGTTCTTAAGCAGGTATTTTCAACCAGTGAACCACAGACATCAACCTACAAGCAGAATCGAACTTTGTAGGAATGGGTTCTAAATAGTGAGATCTGCAAGGGATTTTATAAGAACCACTGATACTCTTCTTGTGGTATTTTTGTGTCTGTGTGTGACATTCTGGCATTTATTTATGCTTGTTACAGGGTGTCTTTGACTTCTGAAGACTGGACAGCTAGATTTTTTTCGTGTTGTTGTTGAGGAGATGAAACTAGCGGAAGAAGTTCTTACGGCATTTCTCTTTCCGCTTCTCTTTCCTTGGCGTAATCTTTCTTGTCTGTCAGCAGCTGTTCACGATGCTGAAGCTTATATCTGTAGTTTCTTTTTCTTTCATGCTTGCAGGCATGGATCTCTTCTCCAACTGCACAGAGGAATGTAAAGCACTGGGCCACTCGGATCGGTGCTGGATGCCTTCCTTTGTTCCATCCGATGGACGCCAAGCTGCAGATTACCGCAGCAATCTGCACGTACCTGGCATGGACTCCGTTCCAGACACTGAAGTGTTTGAAACACCAGAAGCCCAGCCCGGGGCAGAAAGGTCCTTCTCTACCTTTGGCAAAGAGAAGGCCCTTCACAACAGTCTGGAGAGGAAGGAGTTCGATGGACTGCTGTCTAATACACGAGCGCCTTACAAACCACCATATTTGAGTAAGTACTGCTCAAAAAGCTCTCTGGAAGAGTTCCCTTTGCTGGAGCAAAAATTAGCTCTTTCTGCTTTTCATGCTAGGAATAATACAGGCACAATCTTAGGAATGGGGGGGGAGATGACTTCTATTGGATTCAGGCACCAGTGAAGAAGGCATTGTTCAGTGCTTTTTAAAAAAAAGACAAAATCTTGCTTGTTTTTAGTGTGACATCATTGTCAGCAACAAAAGTGTCAGCTAATATTAGTGGGGGAGTTACTGTGTTTGCAGGGTTGCCCTGATGAAGGCAGGAATGATGAATCCATACTCCAATTACTCCATATTCTCAGAAGGCTAATTTATTACTTTATGGTACTATATTATATTAAAGAATACTAACTATACTAAAGAATACAGAAAGGATACTTACTCAATGCTAAAAAGATAATAATGAAAACTCATGACTTTTGCTAAAGTCCCAATACAGCTTGGCTCCAATTGGGCAAAGAGTCAAAACAACTCACACCAGAAACCAATCAGGCAATCACCTGTGGGTAAACAATATCCAAACACATTCCACATGAGCAAAACACAGGAGAAGCAAATGAGATAAGAATTGTTTTCCTTTTCTCTGAGTCCTCTCAGCTTCCCAGGAGAAAAATCCTGGGCGAAGGGATTTTTTCAGAGAATGTGAAAAAATCCCACAGGGGAGTCACTCAATTTTGTTTTCTGATGCTAGATTATTTCCAAACTTTTCTTCAGTAGATGGTTTAAACGTTGGTGTTGCCAGGCTAGTGTTTTCTATGACTAGAGTTAAATTGAGAGAGCTTCTAGGAGTTTCTTTCTATAACTGAGAAGTGTCTTGTGAGTAAGCAGTATGTATATTATTTTGAAGTAGCTGTTTTCATAGTTTGGAAGGAAGGGCCTTCAGTCTGATCATCTTTCAGCCTACATATTATTGACTCTTGTCAGTGCTCCTCTGTGCCTTCTGTCTCATCCCAAAATCTTGCCTCTTTCTTTAGTCACCTTTTGACTATGGTTATGTGGTATGAAAGAGTGTGATAGATCTCAGAGACCTTTATAATTCCTTTTGGAGTCTGAGCCAGCTGTAGAACCCTTGAATAGCACTTTGATCTAATATGTCTTTTTCATTCCATTTGATGCATTCTGTATTTTATTAGAGACTGTAATTTCCTTGACTTTGAGAATTTATGATGTTTATCTCATCCAAATAAGCCAAAGACATTAACACTGCAATATTGACCCTGTTTTAAAGCAACAGAGGTCTTTTAGGACAGCAGATTGGGGATAAAAGAGAAAAGAATCTGTCTGAATGGTATTAATTTATTTATTTTCCTAAAGCATTTAGTTGTTTTGAGGGGTGGTGTGCTGGCAGTCCTGATACGTGAAGATCTTTGGTACAGATCATTCTTAGCACAGTTCTCCCTTCTAAATTGGCTGTCCTGGTATTTTCATTCATTTAGGAGAGGTCTTTTTACCACTCTTCTCTTTAGATTCACTTTACTGACAACTTTATATTTGGCTATCAGTTCTGATCTGTGAAATCTCTTCCTAAAAACCTGTCCTGAGACAATCAGCTTATTTTGTGGCTGAATTACTTATTTTGGGCTAAAATGTCATGTGCCAATCATCCAGTCGTATTCTAAAGATTGGTGGGAAATTTCAGTACGGCCTAACAAATTTCAGTCTTTGCTGAACTGATCTTTCATCATTTATTTCTACAAAATATTCTTCAGCACTAAGGCACAATCTAGCAGCATTGATTTCATCACTGTCACCTCAGCTAATTTTAATTTAACAGGTTTGGTAGCATCTTTAGATGGTCCAACCACAACCGGGTTCTGGTGCAGTATGGATGTTGCAGCGATGATTGTTATCTGACGACACCACAATGGTAGTTCTGCTCTGATTTGTTCCAGGCCTGGGAGTTTAATTTCAAATAGCAATGTCATACGTGTTTTATTGATAATTTAGAGATTTTAAATTTTGTTACACTAGCATAAGTAGTTTTGTTGAACAATGTCTTTACATAGAGACATTGATCTACATCTTGCACTTTCCTGGCACAAGGGCATAAAAAATTGGAAGTAAAATACCAGAAGTAACCAATATAAATGAGTGTTATTACATAATCCACGCTTGAGAATCCAGATTTAGTTTTGCTTTCTTTCTTGAACCTCAAAACTAAAATTTCTACAAAACAAGAGTAATGCTTCTCTGGTTTATTTTCCCTTATTTTGGTGAGGGATTTTTTTGGGTTTTGTTTTGTGTTTTTTTTTCTTTTTTTTGTATTTTAGACTATAATTTTATAGCAAAGAACAGGAACAACAAGAACAAAGTAAGCAGTAGTTGTAGAAATGAGTAAATAATTTATTATTAATAATGTATTAAATAAATGAAGAAAAGTATATAAGAGGAAGTTGATTTAAGAAGGAGCCTTATTTGATTCACCAGGTAATTGCAATTAAAAAAAAAAATAAATTCAACTTCTTAACACAGAAGACCATGTCAAAATCAGTTTGCCAGCAGAATGACTTTTTAAAAGAGATATGTGTGAAACACAACCCTCATATTAAGCAAAAACACTATAAAAAGTTGAAGCATGTTTGAAAATGGTCACATGATAAACATGTGAGCAGCTAAGAATAAAAAGTGTATTGCAGAATGCAAAAACTATTTGAATTTAAAAGGTGTCTTAAGATTCTCAACAAATGATCAGAAAAGAGCAGAAATTCTCGCTAGTGACTTTGAGGATAGTAATTAGTGAACACAAAAGGGACACCTTAGAGCAAAATAGCCAAAGGGATGCAAACAATATAGACAACTTCAAAATACCAGGTGTAGTAAGGTAGGGGAGAACTGGTGAGTCTCTTTAGCTGCAGTTAGTGAGGACAAGGATGTGGCAGGGATTCTAAACTGTGTCTTTGCATTTGTATTTACCCAAGGAGGGACAGAGAAAGGCAGGCACATCTAGGAAGGCACCCATCCCAGGTAACCATTTTAAATAAATGTGTGAAAAATGGAAGAGGATGTTGTTGAAAAAATTGACTAAAATAAATAGAAAGGAGTCCGTGGATTATGTGTTTTGTTAATTTTCAGCTCTTCTAACAAGAGCTAGTAACCAAAGAATGTCAGGAGTTGTGTTTGTCACTTAAAAATGTACTAGAAAACATTGTAAATTAAAGACCGATGAGAAGCCTCAGCATAGGACATACAGTTGTAATTTAGGGGTTTTAGGAACAAGGTAGCTGGCATCTGACCAGGAAAGTAATGCAGGAAGATTGTCAATCTATTAGAATTTTGATAGAGTGAGAATTAATCAATAGAGTGTATTTGAACTGTCAGAAAAAAACCCTTTTGCACAGCTTCTGTGTAGTAGAAGAAGCTCCTAAAATAATCAAGTGTTGTCATAGGTCAAAGCCTTACCAGACTCTGTGCCTAAGAGGAAAAAATCATGAGGATAAAATGTTCCATTTACTTGGGGGTAAATGTTCCATTTACTCTGCAGAAGCAGAGTCCCCCAAGCGTTTATGCAGAAATCCATGGAGTTTAAAAAAAAATAATTATCTAGAAACAGCAACCAGAAAAAAGAGGGAAGTGTCTGCAAATATCATGAAAGGGTTTGGGAGCACTGGCTCTCAAGTAGCACATACCCCTGATGTGCAGTGAAATGTGGGCAAACCTCATCTCCTTCCCAGGTACCCGACTCTGGAATGGAAAGCTGCAGAGCCCTGGCAGCACACTGGGAATGCTGAGGAGCTCACTCCATGGGGCTGTGCCCTTAGTCAGTGGCTCCAGAGGTTAGCTGGTAGCTCTAGGTGGGGCTTTCATGGTGCCACAGGAGTGTGTCTGCCCTGGGATTCCTCCAGTGTGCTCATTCAGGGCAGAACCTTCTGAAAGATCAAGGTGGCGGTGCATGTTAGCACGAGAAATTTGAATTCACCCTTAGAAAAAAAAAAAAAAGACCGTGGAATAGTTCCCTCAGAAGTTTCCCACAATGCACAGAGCCAGCAAGAAGGAAATAAAATACCAGGTTGTAAAAAGGGGAATTGAATTGAAAATACACTGAAAAAAGTGCTACAAAACCCCTACACAGATCGTGTCACTGTGTTCCTCTAGACAGTCTATTCATTCCATGGAAACACATGGCATAGCAGCAACAATACTGAAAATAACTCTGCAAAGTCATATCAAAAGCTTGCAACTAATTAATGTAGGCAAGCCACGATAGGGATGGGAAGTGAAGGAGGCTGCATGAGAACTGGGGAAGTAAACTGTGTGCTTTTGTTTGCTGGGCTCAACAGCAAGGGAGCAGCGAGGCAGAGAAACAGCTGCAGGGCAACAGGGTCATGAGCTGATCATCCACATTGGATCATGCACCTTACACACTTGATAAAATACACATAGATCGCACACATTTGATAAAATGATACCAATTTGACATAAATTGCAGTAACCTGTTGAACTTGTGCAGCATGATTGAAGCTGAAGGCTCCATATAGTGGGAATTTGGGTATTTGGGTCTTTGTGGTTGGAGGTTTAGGCTGTTGCTTGGTTAAGTGAAAACAGCAGCTGTATTAAAAATTGTTATGTAGAAAAGTATACAAATCTCATATTTTCTTTTTGTTCCATCATCCAATTTTCACTTAAGCCATTGGACTTACTCATATACCAATTTCCACATAAACATTCATATTCTATGTATTATTCTGAATGAAATGTAATGTAAGTAGATTTCTAAGTACTTAAATATATTTTGAAGACTATATTTATTTCTGTAAGTTTTATGTAACTGCTATGAGTAAAAATTACAAAGTTATGATTGGATCAGTAAATTGTAGGATTTTTGAAAATAGTTTCCTCATAGAGTGACTCCAGAATTCTCCTAACTTACACAATTTTCTTACTGTGCAACTAACACTTACTACTTGTTGTTCATCCACGTGGTTTGAACAGTGCATTTCTGCAGACAGTTAAGAAATTTTCATAATGACTTGAATGTTC